AGCAGAGACTATCACTCACTCTTCCAACGACGTAGGACTTCTTTCCATGATTTAGATTTTTTTATGTTCTTTTAGTTATTTACATTTCAATTTGGATTTTCGTATTAGGGGTCCAATAGATAGATTCCCGAGTTGTTTAACTGTTAGAGGTTTTGGATTTTAAGTATTTAATTTTTGAGGATTATATTTTAGAATTCTTTCAGCCTTTAATTATTTATTTCTTATTTCATTTTGTAATCTGTGTTCGTTTAAATATTAATTGTTTGATATTTCCCTCGTGTTTAGGCTTGGACCTGATCAACCCATGTCTCAGATCCGAGGGTATCACAGTTGTTGATCACATAAACTTGAAGCCCAAGATGATGATGTAATGGGTGATGACAAAACTTAGCTGCCAAGTTGTTTGCTGAGTTGGCAATTTGATTTGAGCCATAATATTTTAACATTTGTGTTTGACAAAACTGGGAATAGGGGTGGCAATTCGAGTTCGCATATCATAATCGTGTCGTGTCGAACTAAAGGTATAACACAAAACATGTCAACCCGAGCACGACACGATTAATAACCGTGTCACATATCTTAAACCTGAACACAACATGTTTATAAAACTGGTAACACGACACGACACGTGTAACCCGTTTAATAAACGAGTCGTGTTAGACGCACCAAACGTGACCTGTTTAACGACCTTTTTAACATGTTTACCCGTTTAACTTGTTTAAGGTGTTTACCCACTTAACCTATTTAAGGTGTTTACCCGCTTAACCTGTTTAAAGTGGCCAAAGATTAAAATACTAGCAAATTAAAATACTAACAAACATTAATAGAAATTTTGTACCGTAGTGGTGTAGTCTAAAAAAGAGATTAAAAGCCAAAGATAAAGATTAAGTCGTCACAAGTCATAAGTTACAGACCAAAATAAAGATAAGTCGTAAGTTATTACAGACCGAATTAAAAATATTTAATAGAATTGTCAGGGTAACATGCTATCTTTTTAAAAGCCAAAGATCTACGACTCAAAAACTTCCTTCTGCAATCTGTATGCATTCTTTTCTGAAACACCCAAAAGTACAAATTCCTACAAAATAGGTAAGTGAAAAATGATGTGCTTTTTCTCAAGGTCGTATTAACACCCAAAGTTGTAATAAAAGTGTGGCCAAGTTTAAATTTATAAAGAGCCACTACTACCTCTAACTATTAATATAGCTAGGGTGAGTAGGGATCGTCCCAAGGGATTGGGGAAAATGTTAATATGGAAACAAGGTCAAATTAGTAGGTCAAATGATCAAAAGATTGTTTGTTTGGTTAATTAAACTACAATGTAAATGAATTCAATATAAAGCACTTGAAATAAATAAAAGGGTAGAGAACAAGAGAGAGAGGTCTTGGGATTTAGAAGTCACCACTAAACATCACCATTCTAGACATTCAATGTGTAATAAATGAGAGGAAACATGTGTTGCAATACAATGAGGTGTGATTGATTGAATCAACAAGCATGGATTGACTAATTAAGTATAAATTGTCTAAACAACCTAGTGAATAGCACAATATATCAAACTAAGCCATTATTCCTTCCTTTAAGCTCTCAATCAACACACTAACAAGTTAGAGAATTATACTACTTGCACTCATAAGTATGGAACATCAAATAACAAGCATGGATTATCCTCGTATCTAAGAAAGTAAAGCAACTACACTACTTCTAAGCTAGGGACATGAAAATTAAATTAATTAAACTAAGGTAGAGGCACAATCCATCGAGAAATGAGTATAAACCATCAAACAAACCACAAGAGTATACTATTTAAGCACTATGCCTTGACAATCTCTAAATTCATAGCATCAATACACATAGACATGCATCAATATCACAAAACCAAGAGATAAACATATGACCATCTACTCTAACATACATAGACATATGGATAAAATGAAATGATCAATTGGAAGTATTAATGAACACAAATCATTGTAAGAACAAGATTCATACATAAATCAAGTGTCAAGACAACATTACAACACAAATCCCCTCAAAATACAAAGCATTAAGGTCTAGAAGACATACTTAGGGCTAACTCTAGCCCCAAGAAGATGTTTAGCCACTCATTGATGTAGTCATCCAACCCTCAAGGGCCATCTCCATGGTAGAAATACTCTTCTTCTTGATGGAAACCCTAGAAGAATGGAAGAACTCCCAAAATAGTGTATGTCTCTCTAAGCTCTAGCCTCCTCTTCAAGATATATGATTCTAAGTTATGTTCTCTCTAGATGTGAAGATATTATATAAAAATGGCTCAAAATGCTTTTATAGGTAACTCAAGTGTGACACCCAATGGTCAGGTCTCGTGCACTAGGGTCCTTTCAATGATTGCACCACGAGTCATCTTTTAATGAGCTGGACTCTGTTTTAATTCAGACTTGATGAGGTTCGATTGATCGAGTTCAGATGAGATCGATCAAACTGTGGCCAGATCCATCAAATTTAGGCCAGATCGATCAATCCTTGGCGGCGCCTTTTTGGAATAAAACAAATCTGAGATATTTTTGGAATATTTTGGGAAAAAGACAGAAGTGGTAGGTGGGGATAAGATCAATGAAATTTGATCGATCTGAAGAAAGTTGAATTGATCGAAGATGGAAATTCTTTGAGGATAAGGATAAGGGGTCTAATCCATCTTAGTGAGGTGAGATCGATCAATGTGAGATCGATCTAAAATATTCCTAATCGATCGAAGATTGCTGATTTCCACCACTTTGCTCCATTCTTCCATTCAGCTTGAGATTACTTCTTTTATACTCTAATTTGGCTGAATTAATTTATTTTGGGGATAAGCACCTGAAAAGGACAATAACATGAAATTAGTCTAAAACGACAGGAAAGTAAGATAGATAAAGGTCCTAGAATACTCGAGCTTAAGGAGTTTAAATGCACACTTTTCAGCGCTCATCATAAAATAAGTTTAGATAAAAATAAATAAATAAATAAAAATACACTATAAAAGAATGCGTGTAACAAATTATGTGAAAAATAAAACAGATTCAGATGTTCGGTCACGCTAACACTGGTGGAACATTGGCCTTCAGCAAGGTCATCATTGTTGATATTAAGTTTCATCAGTTCCATTCGTCCCAGCAAACAACCACCTGAGGCTTTTTTAGCTAGCTGGATTTTAATTTTCGGTCACGCTAACACTGGTGGAACATTGGCCTTCAGCAAGGTCATCATTGTTGATATTAAGTTTCATCAGTTCCATCCGAGCAAACAACCACCTGAGGGTTATAAAATTTTCAGGATTGAACTCATATATGAAAATAGAAGATCAAATTTTGGGAAAATTAATTTATAAATATACAAAAGAACACCAGATAAGGAAAAAACAGGCAGGTTTAGGTACAAGATTCGCCGGTCTAAATCAGAACAAAACTATCAGTTGATAAAATGATGGTCTATTTTAATGAATGAGATGGTGAAACCAAAACACTTTTTTCTTTCTTTTTTCCAAATTCTTCAATTAGAAATGAAACATCAATCAATTATCGGACCCAAAGAAACACACACAGACACACAATCAGCAGAACAAAATAAAACAGAAGAGGCATGGTGGGTTTGGCTCCGTTTATAAAGGGATGCTTAAAGATGGGACTCAAATTGCTGTGAAGAAGCTGGAGGGTGCTGGTCAGGGTAAGAAAGAATTTCAAGCCGACATCACCACCATAGGCAGCATTCGCCATGTCCACTTGGTGAAGCTCAGAGGCTTCTGTAAAGAGGGGACTCACTGCCTTCTTGCTTACGAGTACATGACAAATGGGTCTTTGGATAGATGGATCTTCAACGACGGCCGTGAAGGTTTAACATTGGACTGGGAAACAAGATTTAAAATAGCTCTGGGAATGGCAAAAGGATTGGCGTATCTCCATGAGGGCTGCAGTGTAAAGATTGTTCACTATGACATAAAACCCGAAAACGTGCTTCTTGATGACAACTACCAAGCCAAAATTTCTGATTTTGGTTTGGTAAAGCTGATGACAAGGGAACAAAGTTGTGTGGTCACAATGGCAAGAGACACAAGGGGTTACTTGGCACCAGAGTGGGTAACAGACATTCCCATATCAGAGAAGAGTGATGTATATAGTTTTGGCATGGTTTTGCTTGAAATCATTGGGGGAAGGAGGAACTTCAAGCCAGAGGTGAGTTCAGAGAAAGCCCACTTCCCCAGTTATGCCCTCAGGATGCTAGATGAAGGGAGGCTGAAAGAGATACTTGATTCAAAGCTTAATACTCATGAAAGCAACGGGACGGTAATCACTTTGCTTTCTGGTGCATACATAGGGACATGTCTCTAAGACCATCCATGGCTAAAGTAGTTCAAATGCTTGAAGGATCCCGTACCGTAGCTCAGCCCCCAAGCTCCTCCCAGATGGTTCTTTGCAAACTTTGTTAAACCTATCAAAGAGGAGCCCTGCTGCCGCATTGATTCAGACCTTTCCGGTGTGCAGTTATCAGGTCCAAGATGATGAGAGATGTACGCTTTTGAGAAAGACCTGGTAAAATTAACAACCTATTATGTTGTTGTTTCTTCTTCTTCTTCTTTTTCTTTTCTTTTTTTTTTTTTTTTTTGTTTCCATGGTATAGGGTAAATTTATTATGTTGTTAAGATACCTATATTATCATTTTTGTTTGGAGTTTCTATTTATTAAGTGTCCCAAACATTTGATCAAGTTCTGGGCATTATAACACCGTACTTAACAAATGCTGAACCCTGATAGATACTTTCTAGGTTGATGTAGGACATAAATTATATTCTTGGTTTATTTTCCATCAACGTGTAGGAGATATTCCAAATCTTCTTTTGTTTACTTCCTTCATTCCATGGATTGCAACCAAACAGAACATTTGGTATCTTTTGTCAGATTTTAGTTTTTAAACAGTTTATGGAAATTCATCTTTCTCTAGAGTACCAAATTTATAAAATTTCACATTGAAGAAGGTAACAGATTTAGGAAATATAACAGAGAACGAACTTCAGTTTTCTAAAATTTTCAAGAACTATTACAAATAAGTCCTATCTGACTGAATAGGATATCATTAATTTGTTTGTAGGCATTACCTTGATTGGCTCTTTGATTTCTATATGTAGAATACCCTACTCTCTGATCAACTAGCCTATATAATCAAAGAGCTCATATAGGCTTCAAATGATCCAGAACCAGCCAAGAACTGAGCCAGCAACCAACCCCATTCCCAAGAACAAAGCCATCACAACTGCTGACATTTCGGCTTCTGAAGATGGCACTGATTTAGGAGTGAGGATCATGATGACGCTTGTCAGATATCCATTGGTTAGTCCAAGCAAAATTGTCAGAAATGCCATTGGTACCTCAGTTTTCAGCCAACTGGGGCCATGTAGGCAGGCTGCAAAGAAGAGATAGAACAAAAGCCTGGCAATGCAAGCCCATGCAGCATTTTCAACACTCTTCAGAACATGTATTGCAGTTAGAGACTTCCCTACAAAATCTGAGACATTGTACATTGTGATAAGCATAATAGGATACCAATCTCTGAGAATATTGGATTTAAGGTTTTCTGCTATAAATCCTGGAAAGATGGACAGAGTCACGGTGTAAATTATGAATATTCCAAAAGCCGGCAACCGGATTTTTCTTGTCACATTCCATAAATTTGGCCTTGAAATTAGCGAGTCATCTTGAAGAAGTTTGTAGTGCTGTTTCATGGCAGGCAACTTGTACAAAAGATTGCAACAAATGGTACAGCCCAGCAATATGACTATGCTGACTATAAAGTAGGAGTGAGCACTTGTTCTGAGGCCCTGTGGCGTTTGTGGAAGCAATGCCTTTGTTGTTATCCTCAAGATTGAAACCAGAACACCTGTTAGCAAGCAATGCATTCAATCAGGAGAAGTGAGTGAGCTGATATTTTGCCTGAAAATATAATCTTTCATCTTTTCACTTGAATTACTCTCTTACTAGTTAAGGCCCCCTGCTGGTAAAGGAAGAATACTACTACTTATAATGAAGATGATTTTGGCGAAGGTACTCAAAATTCTTTTCTTTCACAGCTACTTTGTAACTATTCAGTTGAGAGTAGATTTCATCACTTCAGGGTCACTTTTAATGTAGCCCATTGTTGGAGAATCATGTGGATGTGTTGTTCTATCTGTATCTGCTAATCTTTATTTCGCTATGCTTATATGATCTTTAGTTGTAGAATTTTTTTGAGTTTTACAGGTGAACAAAATCATTTTAACGACATTAATTGATCTCTAAAAATGATTTTAAAATGACCTGGATTAAGGTATAACCATGCTACCAGTCACGTTATGCCATGCCAGTTAGGGATAGTTCAGTTGCTTTCATGAACATATTTTTCATGGCAAAATAAGAATCTGGAAAAAAAAGTAAATTCAGAAGAGGAATGCTATAGTTTCAACAATCTTCCTTAAAATAGTGGAGGTGATAATAATCATAATATGGTGCTTGAAAAATTATTTTATAGGATTACTTTTTTTGTGAACCCCTATGGAGGACCTTTGTATCTTTCTCCATATAGAAACAGTTTAGCCTGTCTTTTTTAGGAATCATTGAAACAGTAAGTTAAATGCAAATTACATATAAACTACATTGGCCACCAAATTAACCAAAATTTCTCTTTGTCGACTCAGAGAAGAGAAGAGCAAGAAAGTTGCAGAGTTTTTCACAATTAAATGGTACCTGAAGAAGCAGTTCCAGCAAAAACAGCCTGCATATACTGTTTTGGCAGCTTGCCTGCAGATCCTATCAAGCTTCCTCCAATCAATCCGTCGGCTAAACCACACGCCACAACTGACGCGACCGTCACGCCATAGGCTCCACTTGATTTCCCTTTTGATTCAGTGCAGCACCAAGCCCAGTCCATCACTGGTGTTACAAGAAGACACAGAACAAACATGGAAAAACCCAAGTTCATCCTCAATCTAAAGCTCAGCATTTTATTCCAACTACCCCAACTCACCATCATAATTAGAACCAGCATTGAAGAACTCATGTAAGCCACAGAGAAGACTTTCTCGACATGCCTGGTTGGATAAAGATAGCCAAAGTAATCAACAGCAGTGATTAAAGCATTCCAAGGAAGCAAATTGCCTGCTCCAAGCAAGAAATGGATTATATAAGCAATCTTGTAAGTGTCTCTGGGCTCAGTTTGATCTCTACACTCTTTCACACCTTCCATTCCTTCAAGCTTTTGCATTCTTGCAGGCTTAAAGTTTTCAACCTCAACACATACACTTGTTTAGATTTTTAAGCATAATATAAGCGGCGTTTGGACACTGTGAAATGATTTTTGAATTGAAAGGATGTAAATAAAGCCGCGAGTTAAGCCACTTTGTCTAGCTGTGAGCTTTCTGTAATGTAACATTGGTTGATTAGTAGCAAAAGTTATTGAAATGTAGAGAGCTGGACAGGATTAGCAAGGAAGCTGAGCCAATTCGGCTAGTTGACGACTCTACTTAATTGGGTCATTGATTTGATTGATGGGTTTGAATTTGGAATCAATGTGGCTTATGCAATGTAAGAAAAAATTGTGGTGTGTGGGGACTGCAATGGATGGGTGGAAATGAGAAGTACTCTTTATTCTACTGCTGCAGATGGGGCATTGTTTGCTGGCAATGTTGGGAGTTTGCGGAATCATACTGGAATAATTAGTCATGGATGGATCATATAAAACCATCAGTCACTTTGATCCATTCCAACCCTTCATGTCAATCTTCTTTTCATATATTCTATCTAATCTTCATTATTTTTCATCCAGCTGCTAAAGAGCTCCCAACTCTTGAAGAATGCATGTGATTTCTTTCTTTTGTGAAAGCAGGGAGGGACCACGCTGGTAAAAATTAGAGCTGTGAAACATAAAAATGACTAAGGAAAATTCTTTTCACACTGCACCCCTCGTGTATTGTGGTGGGTTCCACATATCCCGGGTGTGTCGTCTAGTCGGCATGATTCAAATGAGAATTGTGATGGAGTGTATATATGAAGACAATTTAGTCATGCAACTAAGTCTAATTATGAAATCAGTGTTGCATTTTCGCCATCTAAAATGGAAGGTGAAGTCTTCATTGAAGTAAAAGGTCAGCCTGAAAAATAAAAAAATAAAAAAGTTGTGTGTAATGATGCCTTGCTGTCATCCAAGAGATGGTTTACTGTACTTGTGAAATTTATGTCTTGTATCATGAAATTTGGATGAATTTGGTTTATTATGTATGATTGATTGAACAAGCATCTATAATTTGTGTTTGATTTGATATTTGATGTAATTGGTACCTGTATAGAGTCAATGCTAAGTTTTGTCACGCACAGGACAGGAGTGACGTTGTGAAATGAAAGAATGGTACTTTCGGCGGATCAACCCATAACTTCTTTTTGGAACTTCATCCCTTCCCAGGATTATCATGGATTGATTTTTCATCTCCTGTTATTATGTGTGTGTGTGTGTATATATATGTGTGTGTGTATATAACATATACATACACGCACAATTAAAAAAAAATGAAATGTGTTAACGGAAAAAAAAAAAATTAATCCAATTACCAACATTCCCGGTATTGTTCATATTGAAGGTTCTGGCCTATGCAAGCATAAATGTAAGTACAAATAATCAAATGGTATATTGTTAAGTGGTAGAGTTGAAGTTCCTCAATAATATTGTACCCCAAGAAAAATATAAAATAAAAAAACCAATAAAGAAATATATACACAATGACACGTGGCTGTTAGTTTTCCTCTTTACTGGGCCTGGACTACAACTTTTTGATTGTCAGGTTTTACGGGCTGTGGTAATGATGTATCGAGCCCTGATGATCTGTAACACAATCGTATTTTAGAACTGTTGGGCCTTTTCTGATGGGCTTTCTGGTTATGCCATACAAACGTGTGTTTTTTTTTCATCATCTTTCTTTTTGTATGGTTGAGGGATCCACAAACACACATATGGGTCCTGGTTGGCATGGATTGAGTCCGATTATTCAAAGCCCACCCTAGTGTCGCATGGCCTTTGGGTCTTGCGAAAAATAAATAAGTTGTTAATTTAACTTTTGAAATTCAATAAATTTATATGTAATTTATAAAATTTTAAGTTATTGTATAACATAATATTTATAAAATATATATATTTTTATAAACAATTGTTTCTGTACGTATTTATCCCGAGAGATCAACCCCATCCCTAAAATTATTATTCTTCGACTCAGACCTAGCTGAAGCTCGGCCCATGTCCATGCCAGGCCAGCCTTGTGGTTTCCTCCCACTAGGATTTTTTATTTTTATTTTTATTTATTAATCACTTGCCCCTTAGGAACCCAATTTCGTAAAGGTGTGGTTTTTAGGAGTATTTTTATATTGCATTTGTAGTAAGTGAATTATCAAATTAATCTATAGTGAATTCACATGATATATTATCTTTATAACTTCAATGCAAGAAATGTAAATTGAGAACATTATAAAATATAGTACATTAACTTTTAAATTACGAAGAAGTGTGAAAATGTGAAAATATATAATGAGACGTACTGAGGAAGTATCAGTATTATTATCTGATAATCTAAATGAAACAAGCCTTGTAAAATACCGCCTATGAACACCCCTTTCTCTCCCTCGCACAGTCACACACACTCGACATAAACGTACACATGAATGTTCGTTCATCTTGCGAACCATGCTTACATGCATATACATGACTCTGATGGGAGCAGTTTCAGTGAACTTTTCATAACAACATATTTTTTTCCTTGAAAAATTCAAACAAATGCAAACATGGGCGTTGAAATTAGCAGGGTTGAAACTCTCACACCAGCTAGACTAATGACAATTGAGAAGAAGAGATCAGATTGTCTCAATCTAGAGATCGAACATGATACCATAAGAATCGCAAATTGTTCCGAAGTTCACAAGTTTATTCTCCATATATATATATTTGGAGTTTCAGTACAAGAGCTTATACCTTCAATAGGCTATTAATCACTCTGTTGGCACACCCATCACATGATTATCAAGTAAATGACATATATGGGCATGCTGAGACTGTTGCAGGTACACCTTAGAAACACACCAACATTATTCCTTAATTGAGAGAGAGAGAGAGAGAGAGAGAGTCCAAAAAATGAGTGGGGCTCGTATGGGTGTCAGGAGGGAGGGTAGTCAGACATGAAATGACATGAAATGAAATGAATGCGCCAACAGACATGATTTTGACGTTTCAGATTCTGCCCTAACCCACCCGTCATCACTCTACTCTCTCTCTCTCTCTCCACTATTCTTTTCCGACTAAAAACATTTTCCAGCTTGTCATCTACTATTAACCACTTGTGATTCCCAGGACATTCTCTTCGTTTTTTTACAGCTTTCTCTTCTTATCTTGATTTCAGCATCTCTAGCTATCTCATACACATATTATATTTATATATATATGTGTGTGTGTGTGTATTCAATTGAGGACCATAGTTGCAACTGATTAGTAGATCCAACGAAGTCTTCAATCAATATCAATACATCTCCAAATGAGCTATAGGTTGATTGGTAATTATCTATCTATATTTGTGTCAAGCTGAGTATAGATCAAGTTTACATATGGTTGTAATCCAATTTGTTAATGATTAACTTTACCTTCACCTTTTTTTTTTTTTTTTTTTTTTGGTAAGACTTTATGTTCTTTTATTACCAGCATTAAACTTTTACCGGCCTAAAAAAATAAGCATGTACTACTACAGTTTTATTCAATTCAAAAAGTCTTTTTATTTTTTCGACTAATAAAGCAAACACAATTTGCTCGAAATTATACTCTGTTTAAACTTTTACACAAGATGAAAGTTGCTTAAGCTTAAAATAAATGATGGTTAACATGATAGATACTATGCAAGTCAAAAGTAATACTACCCTATATACAATTATTAGAATTTATTTATACACTCAAATATATAGGAGGACATAAATTATCCCTATATTCCTTCATCCCTCTCAAATTATACATCTATATGAGAGTATTTATTTACATGAATATGTATGTGTACGGATACACTATTACCCTATGTTATTCGGCCGTAGTCACAGACCTATTAAAAAGCCTATCTCCATATGAAGATGGAAAAGTTGAAATTACTGTTCTTGTTTTCATCTTTTGCCCCATAGTACTGCTATTATTATTGCTACAGTATACATGAAAATACATGAATTTAATTATATATGACTTGGACCACATATACCACTTTTCTTTAAGAGTCCAATAAAATCTGTCAAAAAAAAGTTAAAGCAGTGTGAAAAAAAAAAAAAAAAAAAAAAAAAAAAAAAAAAATCTTGTTAGTGCTTTTATAGAGCTAGGGGAGTCTGAATGTAAAGATGTGCTTGGCTGAAGACTAAAGGTCCATGAAATTTTCTATGCTTGGACAGAAGAAGTTTTTTATTAGATTTTTTAACTTTCTTCTTAAAAATATGGAATATATTTACTTTTGAAATAAAGAGTGAACAACTTTGTCATCCATGTTATTCAACTAATTGCAACCAAATACACATTGGCATATATAATATGTTATATTTTGTGAAAGCATTAAGGCAAAAACATAAGTAGAAAAATGGGGAAAAAATCCAATAGGCTCATTTCAATTGGTTAAAGGGTTGGGGTTCTTTTTTATTTTATATATATATATATATAAAATAAAAACATTATTGCAGTGGTAGAAATGATTGTCAACTTAGGCTCCAGTAACTGTCTTGTCTTGTCTTTAACAATTTTGAATTAAAATGGTTGTATTGATGAGTTGGATGACGAGAGACAGAAAAAATGGTAGTGTGTAGAGTTGCTAAATCAGGTAGGAACAGTAGAGATTATGTTGTAGGAAGCATCATTGAAAAGACCATTGAGGAAGGCTATGAGACATAGGAAAAGTGACAAGAAAAAGTGGTGATCAAGGCAATATGTGACTCCTCAATAACTCAAGTGACAGTACAAAATAAGAGATCTTTTTTAATTTACATGAAACACCCTTATATTATTATTAAGTCCTCTGATATATTATTGATATAACTTATAAGGAAACTAATCATATGAGAAAATTTAGTGTCAAAAAGAAACTGACATGTCTAAAAATCTACTTTCTTCAAAATTAAAAAAAAAAAAAAAATAGGGTTAGAAATCTAATCACTACAAACTACTTAAATATAAATTTGAGCCCCTAAATGATGAAATTTATCACAGCATAGGAGTGAGTATTACTTCTTGGGTAGTTTCTACTTAAAGTGTGCCCTTTTGGGTAGAAAACGGACAATTCAGCATTGTCCCAAGAAACATGTCAGCATGTCCATTTGTCCTTTTGCAGTCCAAAGGGGTCATTTAGACTTAGACAATTAATTCCTACATCAATTTTCATAAACTGCAACCAAACAAGTTTTTATACATTTTTTTTTTTTTTTTTTTTCCAATTCTCTAAATCAAAACACTAAACCAAACAAACCCTTACATCAATTTTCATAAACTGCAACCAAACAAGTTTTTATACATTTTTTTTTTTTTTTTTTTTCCAATTCTCTAAATCAAAACACTAAACCAAACAAACCCTTACGTGCGACTAATTCAAAGATGAGTCATGTATTCAACTTCAAATGTTAAAGGGATTTTTAATTTACTTTTTTCTATTAAAAAGTTATTTAAAGACTTGTGATCACACACCTGACCATCAATTAGAATAAGTACTGACCTAGGCTTGTTAGTTAAGTGAAAGTGTTAAATATTTGCTTTCTATTGTGAATGCAAAATGTAGTTGGGTGTTTTATTTGGGCAACTTTAAATTTGACTAAGTTGATGTAGATCCCTAGTGTTGGGCATAAGGTTTACGATATGGAGGTCCACATATTAGTGAAATATCTACAAGAAGATATGTGAGAATGAACTGTTCAGTTGAGAAAGTGAAAATTCGACGTGCTAGAATACCCTAAAAAGAATTTTTTTTAAAAATCAGTATTGAATCAGAATATATGCTCTATAGTACCCCATTCCTACTGAATCAATAGCCAACAAGCATTCTCAAACAACTCTTTTAGAGAGCCAAGCACTGGATCCCTGTTAATTGTAAATATATAATTAATGTTAATTTACCCTCTCTCTTTTTTTCAGACAAGAAACACTCTACATTTTGTTTTTATGAAAACTTGAATTTTCGACCTTCTACTTTAAAATAAAAAATAAAATAAAAAAAAAGAAAAAAAAAATTGAGAGCTGAAACCTCAAATAAATGCTAAGATTTGGCATTAAAATCCCTTAAATGCTTCAAGATCTCATTTCTTAGGATATGATATGCCAAAAACTATTCAGAAGAAGCATTGGATTATTTATATGGTATCTTTTTAGGAAAAAAAATTGTAGCAGAAAAATTAATTAAATTGCAATAAAAACAAAGGTTCCGGAACAAAAAAGTGTATAATCCCCTGTATTTTTTAAAAAGTTCCTAACGTTTAATTTTGAAGCAAACAAGGACCTAAATACTGAATTTATTAAAGTATCCCTCTATAACTGAAAAAAAAAATAGATAAAAACAAATTAAATGTGAAATGACTAAATTGTACCTCTTTTTTTTTTTTGGGGATTTCTTCTTCATCATCACTGCTGCCGTTAATGGAACAACGGCGATGACTTGAAATGTCCGGTGTCGGTTTAGTGTGTGTATACATGGAACATATAACTGAATAAAAAAATAAATTGAATGTAAAATGACTAAAGTATCTCACTTTTCTTTTCTCTTTTTGGGTTTCTTCTTTATCATCACGGCTGCCGGTACGTAATGGAACAGCAGCGACGACTTGATGTGTGTGTGTATACATATATATATATATATACACACACACGGGTAACATATAACTGAATAAAAAAATAGGTAAAAAACAAATTAAATATGAAATGACTAAATTGTCCCACTTTTCTTTCCTATTTTTGGGTTTCTTCTTCATCATCACCGCCGGCGGTAAATTGAACAGCAACGACGACTTGATATGTCCGACGTCGATTTAATGTATAATATATATATATATAGTATATGGGCATTTTCAAAATTTTATATCTTAAAAGTGACTTCAAGCCATTCTTTGCTCATTTTTCAAACTTAATGAACTTATATACACAACATAACCCCTTCTTATTAAATTAAATTAAAATAATAAAAAAATAAAAAAAGACATAAGCACTTCTTTGCTCATTTTTTCAAACTTAACGGACTTATATACACAACATAAAAGATAGGGGTGTTATTTGCCCAAAATGTAAATATTATGGCCGGGTTCTTTTCCACTTTTCCCCAAAAACAACAATTAGAAAGTTCATATTACTGGCAATGTTTTGTTTAAATAGATATATTTTCTTGTGCCTACTGCACGCATTTATACACAACAAAATACAAATATGAGTACACCAATGTGCATTCATACAATGTCACAAACACTTCGAAATATAACGCAAACGGAAGAAAACAATGTTTAATATATTGCCCATACCCTTAATAGAAAAGGTATGAACTATGACTATGAAGTCAATCTTGTGAAAATTATTACTCTTTTGCAGTTTAGGGAATGGAGGATTGATGAAGACACAAAGCAACAGCTGATCAATAACATGGTCTAAATAATTCCTGAACAAATACATGCAACGAATTAAGGAAATAGTACTTAATTTATGTCCTTAAAACACATTAAAGTCAAGGCTTTCTTAAGTACACAGATGGGGATGTAAATGAAGCTGTCCTGATCGAAGAAATCAAGACTCAGTCCTCGGCATTAAATGACTCTCAGAGCCCTGCAAAGAATCCAATTCAAACAAGAGGAGAGAGAGAGATCATATAAGCCATTTAATAAAAAGTTGCTGAAATCATCATAATTATTTTATCACTACTATAAATTGCCCTATCAATTAATTGAGCTCACTAATGGCATTGTGAAATTATCAACTTAATTGGTTAATCTGATTTTTAGCCACCCAAAAAAATATATATATTAGTAAAAACGAAAGGCGAAATGGAAACGATTACACTGAGAGAGAAAATATGCATACAAATATTGGTGTTAGAACCACAAAACCAGAAAGTAATGAACACGTAGAAACCATCTGTGCAAAGGATAAGGAAGCTCTCCCCACCCCACCCCACCCCACCCCAAAAAATAAAACAAAAGATTTCTTAGAAATTCTACTCAATGGCTCCTCGTTAGGCAATTAAGAAGAAAAAAAAATTTCTTTCTTTTGGGGGGTTAGGTAAGTGCGTTTACTTCTAACAAAAAGAGGCAAGGTTCAAGAAAACATTCACAGTGAAAGAGAAAACCGGAAAAACACTAATGGGAATATCCCCTTGAATCCAATAGGCAGAAAACCTAACCTCACAAAGAAATCTTCTTGCAAACTAGAGGTTTATTGACACAGTGACAACCAAAATGGTTTTCCAAAATGTGTTGGTTGGCTCATGCAACCATAAATGGACCAAATGCAATCTTCACAATTTGATGTTGAATAGGAACCCTATCTATTAATGCATGCAGAAGACCATGGTACAAATATTATGAAAATTCTAAACATTAATGAGGTATTTTTATTTTTTGGAAATAATTCTAAACCTTAATGACTTTGGGTCCTGAGGTTGTAAGTTTTCTGTGTTAATTGGTTGATTAATTGATTGTGTGTAAGGCCCTGAGTAATGCAGCTAATGCCTCTTGTATCCATGTATATTCCTCTCCTTTTTGGTTCTGTACTATACTTTTATTCACCCAAAAATAATAATAATAAATAAATAAAATTGAGTAACTATCTCTTGTAATTGTTTGGCATCCCATTATTAGCAGCTGAACCATAAAACATAAACATTGTAAAAATAAAATAAAAGTAACTTCGAGCTTATCTGATTTAGTTTTTAGAAATTCAATTCTCTGGAATGTGGTTTGAGATAACGATGTTTTCAATCACTTAAGTTCAGTTGTTAGGGAAAAAAATAAAAGAAAAGAACAAGAGAAAGAAGAAGAAGAAGAAGATGATGATGATGAAGAAATCTCGATAATATTTCTCCTAGGAACTAGTCTTATTTTATTCTATTTCCTATGAATAATTTTTCAAAGCAACAATTCAAGCAGATTTTCACCCTTGAATCAAACTGTGCCTTATTTCGATCGCTTAGGTTTTTTTTTGGTAAATTTTCTTTTTCTTAGTCTCCCTAAGGCACTCCTTGGTCTATATGTGTCACTAGTTTGAAGGAAAATATAATATGTATGTCTTTTAGAAGATGATTTTTTTGGTATATCATACTTTTAGTAAAAAAAGAAGCAATACTAATGAGATTTTCATTCAAATATTATTCACCAAAAAAAAAAAAAAAGCTAAGACAAAAGGAAAATGATATTGGTACTCCAAGAGAAGCTTGAGTCACTTCAATACCTGTGACTTCTTTAGAGCCCCAATATCATCCACCAAAACAAAACAAGAAACTTTTATTTATCTTAGGTTTATCTAATGTAATGAACAAATAATATGTTAGTTTCTTTCCTTTAGGTTTCTCTAATGTAATGGAAAATTAATAGATTAAACAATTTGAAAGGTACTGTAAAGAGATCCATTTATGTCGTTCTAAAACACACACACACACAGAAAAAGTCTATGTTATATTCGGTTGCATGGAAATAGAACGACTTTTACTACAAAAAATAAAAAACATATAAGCACTTACCTAATTAATTTTGGCTTGGTTGTTGGTCTCCAACATCAGCCCAAAATGAATGTGAGGGAAGTGTGCCCACTAGCAATAAAAATTAATTAAGTTCATCAATTGAAAAATATTCTAGTTCACATGCAATAAATGTGGTGCAAATGAACAAAAAAGGCTTTCAAGTTTGTACTCTCACATTTTTGGCTGCAGTACTGAATGCTTCTCTGTGGCTAATGTCTGGATTATTAGCCTTGATCCTCTGAATCTCTTCCCTATGTATGGATAGCACATTTTTTGTTTAGTTACAAATGAGTTAAATGCTAGGAAGGCTTCTATAACACAAAGGATAAAAGAGATATTCAAATGACTACTCATTTATATATATAGATAGAGCAGTTTCGTTACTTTATGAACTGGTTATATGCAGAAGGTACTCGCTGCCTCTTCTCGGGAGCTGAAAAAGAGAATAATGTCTCCTAAGTATTTATGTGTTTATATATATGTGTGTGTGTGTGTATAACAAAAAATTGAAAAAGAAGAAATAATTATATATAAGCTAGAAATGTTATATATATATATATATATATATATATATATAGATATATACTCACGTCGATTGACAACCCTTGTCTCAGAGGTATTTGTAACCGGTGGTCGCATTGTGATCTTGTTGTTGCATTTGGACGAAGAACCCAAGTCAATCCTGTAATCTGCTGAACCATAGTTGGCTCCCTGCAGATATATATAATATAATCAAAAATAAAAATATGAAAAAGTTAAGAAAAGAAAATCATATATGCACGAATATAAAAGTCTCAATGTATGTGTGTGCATATACAAATACTAAGCCCACACGAGAAAAGGGATAATAGTTTGTTTTGAGAAAATGGGGAATCAATTATTTTTGTTAAGAACTTGCCTGTCCATGGTTGACCATTAATAATAGGAGAGAGAAATAAATAAAGGAAGATTTGATTGAATGACTTGAAATGATGTTTTATGAGACAGAGAAAGAAATACTAAACACTGAAGTGACTGAATCTGTTAGGGATCTTAAACAAAATATATAATAAAACCCAGATTGGACGACAATTGGTAATAGAGTTGGGATTTTGGAGACCCCAAAACCCAGTTTTTTAGAATGTGCTGCCAAAATAGAGGACATGATCTGATCAAAATTAAAGAAACTATGAAAAAAAAAAACCTAAGAATCCAGAACTCATTACATATCAATCAAATCATCTTTTAAAAAAAAATATATATATATATATAGAAGTAGCTCTCTAGATTTTAAAAACCCTAGAAATGCTTTGCTCTTTGCTTTGATGGGTGAGGACAGGGCTCTGACACATAGGCAACTGTGGCCGGAAAACACACCCTACAAAAAGTAAAAATTATAGGTTTTGGTTATGGCGGCTGTTAGGGTTCACAGATGAGAAGAGTTCTCCTTTTGAAAGATTCGATCCGGGTTAAAACAATGTAGATCGAGCCAGAAGGCTTGGATTTCCTAAAAAGAAGCAAATACCCTAGATTTCAGAAGCCTACGATCACCCTAAAATTAAGCTGAATATTTTGTTGATATATACTGTGTGTATACATATATATATGTATCACCTGAACATCTTGCCAGGAAAGTGACTGAAATGCAGCTGCCATGTTCACTGACCATAGATTGGTGCAGTGCCCGCATCGGACGGTCACAATGTCCAATAAGTTACTGCATGGAACACTCACCTGAACAAATTTAATTCTTTAAGTACTTACAAGAAAGGGAAAAAAAAAAAAACAAGTTCGATCAAGTAAATTTAAAGAAAAAATAATAATAATAAGAGCAAGAAAACTTGAAATCTCCGTCTCCTTCTGTAGATCAGAATCAAAAGAAGTAGTGAAGAAAACAGAAGTGAAAGAATATGGAATGTACATCAAAGCTACTCTAGTATTTATATATTGGCCAAGCTATATATTGAAAAAACAGTGGTTAATTAATAAAAAGAAATGGGGTTTGAAAGAAAACCCTAAAACTTGAAATGAGTGAAGGTGGGATGTTTGATCTCTTTGATCGATGTTGAAGTACTTAAAGAAATTGACCCATCTAAGATGGATCTATCATTTTCTATAAGGTAGAGGCCACAAAACCTTTGTTTTGATAGCACTCACTACTCACTAGGTAGTAGTGCTTATCTTTTTCAGTAAAGGAAAATGTATCTCACAGTCACAGAGTGAGGAAATCTTGAAGACTTGTCCTCATCAATATATATATATATATATACAACACTCATATATGTTTGAAAAAACAACACAGCTAGCTGTTTCTCTCTCTCTCTCTCTGGTCTTTTTATCATGCAGTAGAGATACCTCCAGATATATATGACTTTTATTTGACTGCAAAAGAGAGAAGAGAAAAAGAAAGTCTAAAGGATGGAGACCTGACTCTGTAGCAAAAACAAGAAACCCTGAAAGAGAATTAATGGATATCATAGCTACCCCTGATCTCACAACCAAAATAACAGCTTTATTCAGGACCTGTGACGAACATCAATATTTATATATATATATATATAACTACATAGATACGTATATGGGTTGAAAATTAAGAATTGTAAATTAAATTAGTAGATCCATATATCCCACTATATATAAGAAGATGAGTAGCTTAGAGATCAGAAATACCGCAAGAACAATATTGCAAAAGTTGCAAGGGATGTAACACAGTTTCTCAGGCACAACTTCAATGCAGCTCGACATCTCTTCCGACTAAATTCAACCTCGCAAACTTGAACAACAACTAGAAAATGAAAAACAAGCACAAATTAATAAGCACAACCAAACAAGCTAGGCTTTTATTCTCTCTCTCACTGATCTCCTTTATATATATATATATATATATCTCCTGGCTATATACGTATAGCAATTAACACTAGAGCATAATTTGTGTGTGTATATAAGTAATAATATATATAGAAAGTTGGAGAGAGAGAGAGAGGCAAAAGGAAAAGGAGGGATAGGATGGGAAGTCGTGATGATGAGAGAGAGAGAGAGAGAGCAGAGTGGGAAGGCAATAAAAAATTGAAGTGGGTTCAGTAGTAGTGCTCACGGAAGGAAGGCAGAAACGCGTGGACCGGGGGATTTCCGGTTCATGGAAAAGAAACCGGTTCTTGAATGTCAGATGTTATGATAGAGTTTCGGATTCGGGAAGGAAGATTAAGTTTTGGCAGTATTATCACAACCGTCCAGATGTTATGGTAATTTCCCATTACTATGAAATGAGTGTGACCCACTCTCCCCCCTTACCCCATCCTGTACACCCACAGCGGACGAGGGGGGCGATATTTTATCATTCAATATATCACTTACATACATGGTGTATATATATAGACACACACATTGTAAATGTAGATACAAAATATATGTATTAATATTCCGGGGTACCCAATAATGCAATTTCCCCTATCAATGGTAAGTCACCATCTCATCGTAAATATGAACTAAACTAAACGATACATTGTTGGTACTCCTAGAGTCTCAATAAACTCTCCACCTAGTTTATATTGCAAATTGAAACAATTGTAACTCGTCAACCATGTGTTACTCACGATGAGACCCACCTCATCTAATCATGAAAAGTCACGGTCATTCTAATCGTGCAACTGTATTAGACAATCGTTGTTTCCAGCATCCTCAATTAACAAATTAACAGTAATCATTGCAATCGGGATTAGAAGCTAAGGAGGTTGTTTGTGGAGTCAGTCAATTAAGTTGATGATAATTGGGCTGGAATGTGCTTCTTAGCTTGGGTCCTTTTCCATGTCTGGAGTAATAAATAGCAAGTGTAACTTCCACCAGCTCGATTTGGTTCTTCAATTTAATGGGAGCTTCATTTTATATTTTAATTAATTTCTTGTTTTCCAAATATTTATGAGCAACTCTTAATTTTTCAATTTTCTTACTACACAGGAATTCAATTACTCTGTTAATTGGACTGCTGTGAATTTAAATTAACTAATTTGTTGTTGAAATCAGCCTCCTTAAATTAATATATAAGGAAAATGAAAATATTTTCCTTCACATTTTTTGTTGAGGATCATATATTTATTATAAAAAATTTAATATTAGAGTCTGAGACTCACAAGAATCCAATAATGAACTCGAAGCCAAAGCTTATGTTTTCCCTGAAATATAGTTGCACTAAAACTTATTTTTAATGTACAAATTTGGACAACCTAAAAATCATGAAGTTTGAGGTAGCTAGCAAGTGGAATGAAATTGGCCATATTATGGGGCCAGCAGTGGATTGGAATTGAATGGTGTGGTCACCAAAGCCTATGAACTTTTGCATGTCCCCACTTCATAGCTCAGACAATTTCTCTCTCTCTCTCTGCTCCTTTTTTTTTTTTTTTAATGCATGTGTGGCTGTTTTTTTTAGTATGCATTAATTTGTGATTAATGACTTGTGCGTACGCCCATAAATATAATTTATATACACTCTCAAATAAATCATGCAAAATAATAATAATAATAATAATAATTTTGAAACAAAGACTTTGAAAGAACTAGAGAGCCGAGTATATTATTTCATAATAATAATCTGATAACGCAAAATTTCATTCAAAATCTTGAATATATTATTTTCATACATGTTTCAAATGATTAGTATTTGTATACGATCACGAGAAAATGACGCAAAGTTTATAATCATGATATCAATTTCACGGTGGCATTACTCTATGTAAATAGAGGCCATTATTTGGTGCACTTATCAGGTTAAACCTCTAATTTATCTTTCTTTTTCAGCATTTTCAACCACACAAGATAATGTAATTAAGAAAAATTATATCATGGAAGTACATTGAGCGACATCTAGTTTCATTAACTATCGATCTGCTGTATATGAGACTTATGGCATTCAATCCACTAATACACTTGGTAATTTGAGCCTCATAAAGGAGCACACTGCCATTTGATAGGCCTGGCTTTTGTTCTATCCTCGTCTAAGTCCATTAACTCGTCTTCCTGTTCAAAGTGGAAGGGGAGAGTTACAGAAAATACAAATATTTTATTTAGAATAAATGAGTGTGTGAGTTTATTGCTAAAATTTACTACCTCTGTCACAAAAAGAGAGTTTTTTTTGAAAAACTGCAACTCACATCAACATAATACATTGCAACACCAACATAGAGGAGCAATGTGAGCGGTGGGCCTCACACACTCCTCTTCTCTGTGTGGTGATATCGTCTCGTGTCATTGTTTTATAATACAATTTTCTTCAACTTCTAAAAAAAAAAAAAAAAAAAAAAAAAATCATTTTTAAGGGTGATCGTGGATCGAATTGGATTAGGTATTAAACCTAATCTAATCCAATTTCTATGAATTGGTAAAAATTGAATCCAATCTAATTAATGGAAAAGTTTAATCTGATTTGATCCAATATGTAAAATAACGAATTGAATCAGATTGATTTTACGAATTGAGCTTTTTTAAATAACCCTTTTTTTTTCTTTTTTTTTTCTTTGTTTTTTTTTTACACCATGACCCATGTTTTTGTATAGCGCATATCAGTTGAAATTAACCGATTAAGTGTGAAATTTTGATAAAAAAACTAAGTATAAAACATGTTAAAATTCAATCCGAGCTATACATATTAAATTTAATAAGTAACACATCAATTAATCAAATAGATATTAGGTGTATTTGGCGTATGATGCACCAAACTTGTATACATGCACACACCAATTGTTCAAATGAGCCCGATATACGGTCAAATGCAATACCTTCTCCAATTGAACACACCAATTCACACAATGAGTGTGAAGATGAGAGATATGGCCTGAAGAGAGAGAGAATTGGTAGTGAGGACATCTAGTTGGCCGTGGGTAGGAGTTGCGTGGCTCACATGCACAGAGTTCAAGAGAATGATCGCCGGACTAATCTTCATTCATTCGAATTCAGTCTATCTATCTATAGCCTCTGTTCTGTAGAGGATAGAGAGTAATAAATTCTTTTTATGAGGCCTACACCACAGTAGCTGTCTTTTTATATCCAAGTGCCAAAGTGTGCGTGTATGACTCACAGCCTGCTCATTTATTACAACGAAAGAGAGATTAGATTCATTTATCTCCCAACTTTTTAGACACTCATATATACCACTAATTTACTGCTACGCCATAATAACACAACTATATATATATATATATATAGAGAGAGAGAGAGAGAGAGAGAGAAAGAGAGAGAGAATTGCAGTTTTTCTCTTCGGTCAAATCTCATGTGGCTATATATATCCTGATTGAGATGGTTTTTTAGAAGATTGTTACAGAGAGGGGTTTGCTTTAGCTTTCCCTAATGGTCACGAAAGTGTAGATATATATTGGAAAAGGCATCGACCAAACATAAGTGTGGTTTCTGGTGTTGTTGTTGTTGTTGTTGTTGTTGTTGTTGGGGCATATAAGAAGTGGAATATTATGTATGACTTTTGACAAACAATTTATGATTACAGAAAATCAAAACCTAATGTATGATTTATATATATGTTACAACTAATCAATATTGATTATTTTTATTTTAACGTACTGAAAAATATATAATATTTAAGATTGAAATATGAGGAAATATAATAAAGGCTGCCTGGTGACTCTGGTTAAGTTTTTCTACAATATATAGTTTTCTGTTGGGTTAGAAATTTGAGAAACAAAAATAGTTCAAAATTTTGTTCACAGCTTTCTATATATTATATTACCCAATAAATTTTTACAAATTTTTTCTATATTTTATTTTAGAGTAGTGATTTACCGAATTCTGTTATGTGAGAGGAAGTGTTAAATCACATCATGGTGACATCATGTGATAGGGCTCATCACCTCAATCACATAAATCAAATTTGGTAACTATCAAATTTGATCCTTAAAAGGTTATTCTTCATTTTAAAATTTAAATATGATTCACTTCAAGACCTCATTGCCATATATATACACAACCGATGGTGTTTGATCAATTTAGCCAACTGATAGACAACTTAAAGCTGAAAAGGGTACTAGTTGGTCTCAACCTTCTTTCTTCAGCTGCTTTAATTGGGTGCCTTTTTCAAACTTTCAGCTTTCATTTGGGCTTTTACTTAATTTTGAAACGTGCAAAATTAATTGATGGTCTCACGAGACCTTAACTTATTCAATTTTGGGGTTAGTTTTGGTTATGGGAAATTAGCATTTTTTAGACATTAATTAGCTAGATTAAGGTTTCTCTCCCGATCTGTCTATCTTTCAACTATTTGGGCCAAAATGATGGCAAGTCACCTCCACAACAACAGAGGATCAAAATCATATAGCTAATTAGAGTGATACTAAGAAGAATGATATATCTTTCAAATTTGAATGATGCCGAATGAAATTTTATGTGAGTTGTAGTGTGAACCCACCAAGATCACCTTCATTCAGAATCTTTGAACTTGGGATAATGCACTATTTTTCATTAATATATGGAATCAATTTACTACAATAATCCAACTAAAATTACATAATTGATTGGATGAGTTGTTTTCTCGCTTATGATTCTCTTGTTTTAGGAATATTAATGAATTCAAAAGGATTAATTTTAATTATGGCTTAAATAATCAAGTTGAAACCATGTGACCAAGCCCATTAAACCACGTATAATTAATGTGTATAATGAAATTCTTTTGTGTTGTTAACAAGGCAACATGCGATTTTTGAGTACAAGATATTTTGTTGGTTTGATGTACGATGTTGGGTGTAGTTGATAGGAGTTTGATGTTGTTGTTTAACTTTTTCACGTGCTTCGTCCGACATGCAACATTGTTTGATGTTTAAGCATTCCATCATTTTCGCACTTGCTTCTTGTGATGTTGCAATGGAACCTAGCATATTTTAAGCTAGCGATGCGCGCTATGACCCCACCTTTTTTTCTATTCACATTAGGAAGAATAACCTTGGTGATATCTATCAATCAAGTAGTAGTGTGCCTCAATCTTTTTTTATTTTCTACCCAATGTTGGATTCTACAACCAAGAGTATCATTCTACTTGATGAAACAGGTCAAAAGCCAGACAGCATTTAAGAGT